TATATATATATATATAAACTACATTAATTTTACACAGATATATTTATATAGAATTATTATACGTACGTATATAGACAGCTTAATTTTTTATAAAACATACATATCACATTTTATATGAAGCTGTTTGGAAACTTGTTTTAAAAAGCAATTTCTAAATCTTATCAGAAATATTTAATAAATGTGTGTTACTTTGATATAAATGTGGTATATATATGCATGTGTATTTTATGCTATAATATTTACATAATTGGTATTTGAAAGCTGTGCTAGAACTGTATCGTGGGTGTGCAGATTCGCTTAATATTCAACTTCAGGCGCTGAAATTGAACGGGAAAACACATTCATTAATGCAGTTTAGAATATTACGAGTTGTCCGGTCTCATAACGCATCGCTACTGCATTTATAAATGTCGCGCGCTATTAATCGCCGAGGCGACGTAATAATGTTATTGCGCGTAGCCTCATTTTCGATATCCGAATGCCCGTGAGAGAATAAAATTCACGATAATACCTATGCATATGCAGTTTAGCTGCAGATGAAATTGTGCAGAATGACCTTGGCGTTCGCAGAAGCCGAGGTCGCAAAGTTTACGCATTTACGCGACAACGAGTTTTATTTATGTGTGCAATAAATAAAGACACGTTATTAAACGATTAAAAAAGAGAAGTATTTTTCATGAATAAATAAATAAATCGTTTTTAAATAAGGAATCAATTTTATTTATTTTTTTGAGAAAACTACGTTTATTGTTTTATACATTTAGCAATAAAAACTAAATTTTCTGAATTTTTTTTCGATTATTAATAATCTGCAAAAAGATATTGTTATGCTGCAATAGAGAGATAATTGAATAGCTCCATTATTTCTTTACGTCTTTACATCTATAAAAAAAAAAAAGGTGATGAAACTTTTTATTATGTAGTTTGAAGAAAAATTTGTTTGATATATACATATATTAAAAAATTTATTATTATCTTTTTTTTATTATATTTAAAATTCTGACAAATTTTTCTGCAAGTTAGAACACAAGTTAGTAACCGATGTTGTGTACATAGGAGAGAAATAACATTTTAATCGGTCCTCGTAGGGATATCTAGCCCAAACGTGATACGAGCGAAAACGCCGAAAGAAGGTGGCGGATAAAGACAAGAAGAAGATATTTGGATGATAGCTCTCGAGGGATAAAGGTACTGAGTCGGAGTTTAACTTAAAGCACTTCTAATGTGCCACGCAAGAGCTATTATACGAACAGCACTTTTCCTTCTCAAGATTTCAACAACGATGACCATGCGGAGGTTGACGAACCCGCCGGATAATCACGTCTATCCGAGGTAAATGATGATTTTCGGCAAACGATGTCGTTTATCGTTACGAGATATTTCGCTGCATATAAAAAAATTATTTTAAACGTAAAAGTAATTTAGAGAGCTTATATCCAAACTATCTCTCTTCAAAGATTTACAATATAGCATAGGATAAGTGATTTAGCAATTCGTATTGTTCAAAGTATAAACCTATATACGAGTCTTGGAGAACTCATGAATTGTTTAATTACAAAAAGATAATTAATATAAAATATATTAAAAAATTGCGATGTATAATAGTTCTCCTAAAATCTCTAATAGATCATTATTAATTTTTTAATTAAATTTTGCGAGTTTTTATAGAGATCCTGCAATAATGAAATGATACACAAAATATATTTTTTGTTAGGTTTCGTATTATATGCTGGATAATTACTTAGCTAGCCTTTGTGTAATACCGGATTAGCCTCTTTTCGATATACAATCTTATCGAGCGTTTATGGAGCAGTTGAAGAGCAGGCTATTACGTAAAATAATAACGCGTAAAATTTTTTTTTTATGATTATATTTTATCGAATTTTTTCAAGAAAATATTGTATTTTTGTTTGAAAGTATTAACTCAAAGTTTAAAATTTTTTTTTTGGGAAAGCGATTAAATATTGCATTTATAATATTGTAAGAATATTATCTACTTTATACATTAAATCCACCATATGTACTTATCAATTTTAATATCATCGGTTTTATATTCAGCAAAACTTATCTATTTAAAAAATTAGCAAATTTTGATATCTGCCATATTAAAATATTGCCCCACTTAGAATTTAATTCAATGTTCCAACTTTTTAGCAATAGGGAGAGAGATCCTAATATTTAATTACAAATATCTTATAAACCTTAATTTTTACAACACAATTCTTTCCGAAAATTGAAAATTCCAACAATATAAAATTATGAATAAAATAAAATTTTTCTCAAAACGTTATATATTGTAGCATGGTAAAGTACGTTAAGAGATAGCTTTTTCTTACAACTTTAATTAGAAGTTTCTCAAAATGATTACGCGATATTATATTTTGGATATCAAAATTATATTCAATTGTAAATAATTACGAGAAATTAAGATTCTCTTTGCTTTAAAAAGAAGAATTTAATTTTTATTAAACTGTGTGTGTGTGTTATCAGATCCATTGAGCGATCAATCTACTCGCCATGTCGGTCGCGACGCGCATCATCATCACTTTTATCAGTAGATAGTAGAAGCAAAGTACGGCTAAGCTGACGGCAGTACGCCCACCTGCAAGGTAAATGAAAGATCAGCCCGAGCGCAAACACACACACACGCACGCACACACATACACAGTGGCTCGAGTGGCTATATCCGCCGCTCGAGGGCCGGAATGTCGCCCAAAGTGATGATATCGCCGTACGTGCGTTCGCCCAGAAAAGAGTAAAAAAAAACAATGGAGATGGTCAATCGCGCGATTCTTGTTTTGAGAAACACCGCGTAAAGATTACCGTAGTGAGAGAAAGCCAGAAATAAAAATCCCAGAAAAACTTAACTTCCTCTAAACGATATTGTGCGCCCTTGTTCCGAAAGAAAGGTCCGGGAAAAACAGTTCTTTCTCTTTGTCTCGCGTGTAATCATATCTGTTCTCGTAAATGATGCTTCAACGTATCTTTGGTCTTAACACATAGAATCTCTACTCAAAAGGAAAGAAATTTTCCGGAAATACTCATTCGGGCACTCACTGCGCTTTTTATGTTAAATTTCCATTTACGGGAATTAATATTTAAGTATATTGCACTGGCCTAGATATTCTCGCTTAGATTTTTTAAGAAGTAAAAAGACGAGAAAAAAAAAAGAGAAAGAAAGAAGAGTTAATCTTCATAAATGCATAATTCTTACGTTCTTTCTTCTAATAATATCAGGCATAGCTTTCACAGTCATTCTCAAGCTGCTTTACGATTGACATCGTTGTTTGTTAAGTTTTATAATCAGAGTCTATGCGTCCATAAAGTGCTTTTGTATAATAGATATAAATGTATGCATCGCGCAAATCTTTATTTCCGGTTACCCACGTAAGTTGCTTGCAAATATTTTGTTTACTACGCGGCATTAAAGAAGTTAGCCATTTCTAATTTAAGAATTTTGAAGTCGTAAAGTTCACATAAAAGATGGAGTTGTAAAATTATTTGTCTATTACATACGTCTGACGAAAAAAAAAAAAGACTTTTATGAATGAAAGACTTTAATGAATCAGCTTCAAGTACTTTACGTCTCTTTCTCCATTCATCGTTTATTAATCGCTCTTTTATTATTATTTCTATTTTTAATCAGTATACATATATGTTATCATTTTTTTCTTTGAACAATTTTATTTTTACGCGTTTAAAAATGAAATAATAAGTCACTTTTTCAGCAATAAAAGCAAGATTGGTGAGAATACTAATGTAAAGTTCAACTTTTTGTTAATTTTTATGGTTCAATAAAATCCTGCGATCCTGAAATTATGAGAGTGAAAACCTATCAACCTTTTTTATTTTCATCAACTCGTAATCTCGTTTCTATTATTTAACTAGTTCAATTCAAAAGTTTGGAAGAGATATATTATCTGTTGAGTTTTTTAAAACTATTTTATCTAATTTGCCGAAATGAGAAAAAGAAAAAAATCCATCGTGCAAATCGAGCAAAGTGAGAAAGTAACTTTTGTTCATCGACTTATCTTTAAAAAATTGTGTGTGTGTGTTCTCTCTCTCTCTCTCTCTCTCTCTTTCTCTCTTTGCACCTCTCTCCTTTATATCTGTTTCCTGTATGATCACATGTGGTTAGAGTGCAGAATAAAGATGCATGCACATGCATCGACATCGAGCGATGGTGACGGGCAGCCAATATTGTCGAGGCAAGAGGGCAAACAGCGTTCGAGTGTTTGCTCCTGGAAACCGTTAACGCTCTCCAAGCGGGGTTTTAACCATGCTCGATCGACCGATGAATGCACGCGTAATATATACGATGTGTTGACGACAGAGAGACCGTGGGGCAGTTGGCCCGGAATAAATCCCCTATAAAATTTGAAAAATTGCGTTGCGTACGCGATAACATGAAAGATGGCTTCGTATGTGCGCGATAAGCGGATCACGCGCGTGTACTTCGTCATTTTTATTTCTCCATTGTTGTATAAGCTCCCTTGCGCGCGAGAGAAATTATTTGAGATACACGAGATACGCTATGCGAATCGCGTCAAAGTAATTTTGCGGAATTAAAAAATTAATTCAAAGGAGAATACTTGTGTCCATACATCCCAATGTGAATAGAAACAATTAAAATTTAAACTCTCATATTATTCATCGATTATATTTCGCTTAGTTTTTTAAAACTATTTTATGCAGACTTTTCATATTCTTGTCCTGCCATTTTTAATATATAATTTTTTTTAATTACTTTTTTCGATAAAGATTTGACGAAAATTAACACAAAATAAAATCCTGTTAGAATGTTCGAGTTAAATGGAAAAAAAGATTTTAGTTGTCCATCCTCAATAATGAGACTTATTTCTCGATAAGTTTACTTTTCAATGTGACATATAACTCCAACAATATTATACATCTATACACATTAGTTTCACATCCAAAGTAATTAATATGAAACGAACAAAGGGAGGCTTAGTCGATGATTAATTGTATTTCTTTTGAAAACCAATATAGTTACCCTTTCTCGGGATTGTTTCCCTCGTACGTAAGGTTTGTCGTTAAGTGGTACATCAAGCTGTTGTAACGACAAAGCAATGTACATGTACGTACCTAATGAGATTAGGGGCGCATTCGGGCCCATCGGCTTTCAAGATTTAGCTCTGACCGAGTCTTGCTCGGGTGTGCAGTATTGGTTTTTCGTGTACGCAGTCTGCGATGCGTAACTCCCGATATGAACACCCGCCGGCTCAGCCAGCTTGTCGTTTTTATGGATATAGCTTGTATTTTTTTGCGGCATTTATAAACGTGTAATACGTGGAACTTTCAAAAGTGCACGTACAAGCTGGATCCATCTTAAAACGCTTGGGCGTCCAAACGAGATTTAGTAGTTTCTAAATAGGGAGAGAGGATGAGAGAAAATAAGGTCATTTCTGCTCGTGAGAGAGAGGGAGAGGGTAAAGAGTGGTCTAAATTAAATTTAAAAAAAATACAATGAGTGAAGAAAAATATATGTGAATATATTCAATGCCAATTTTAAATCTAATTTTAACATTTAAAAAAATAAATATATTATATTTATGTTATTAAAGAGAAGACTAAGAGAAAGAGATTTTTTTTGTTTGTTTAAAACTGATTAAATTTAAAATTGGCAGTGCAGTTTATTCAATATAATTTAAAAAAATTTCTTGGAAAGCTAACAGTTATAATTTACTTTTATTGTTTGAATATTCATGTTCAGAGAACTTGTTTATCCAAGTAATGCGAGGAATACGTAATACTTGCTGATATTTCGTATAATCGAACGGAATCCTTAAGCATGGATACGCCATGGATTTGCCTTTAAAGTAACATCTGTTGCTGAAGTAAATATCATTTGAAAGTTATAAAGAGGAATTTTTCATGCATTTCTATAAATTCCTAGGAATTTAATATACGTGGATACGCGCGCGTGTAGGCAAAAATCCCCGTAGTTAAATAACTTGCAAAGGGCAAGGCAGAGAAACGATATCTTATCAAATGAAATATAGTTAGAATATATTTTTTATTTATCCGAATAAATTACAAAATTCCTTTTTTTTAACATTTTACAAGACTTACTTACAAGATGTATTTAATTGATTCTGTATTATTTGTTATTTATCGTTGTATATCATTATTTTTTATTAATGTCATGACACGAAATTAATAGCTTTACGCATGTGCTTAATTAATTATTTTGATCGAAACTTAATTTAAATTATATGAGTAAAAAATTAGTTATGTAAATGATTTTTTTAATGAAATTATTATTTCACTTCGTTTATTTAGAGTACAAACTTAATATATAATGTATTTCAATTTTTTAGTTCCTTCATTTTGTTATATGGTATTTATTGTAATAATATGTATAGAAAACTTTATCAGCATTGCGCGCGCGATTATATCTTAAAAAAATAGAATGATACCACAAAGAATATATAGTAAAAAATGACAAATTGATAAAATTTAAATTTGAATTGTATAATAAATTAATTAAAAATTTATATGAAAATAACTATATAAATATAATAAATATAATATATACAAATAATAACATTTTTCATCAACCTCTCTTTCTGTAGAGGCGGAGAGTCAAAATTATGAAATGTCAGAAGAACGTGCCGTAATTGCGGCGCTGTACAACTGAAAATTAAATCAGACAGATTAAAGTTGGATGTCGTTAAAATGCGCAACTATACCTCTTTTTAATCAGATATTTTACAGCGCGATTAATTGTACGGAATTGGATCTTTATATCGCAGATTTCATTGCGTTCGGTCTAATTCTCGCCGTTGATTGCTTCGGTATAACCTTAGAACGACAAAAACATCGGGATTTATTTCTCTATCCGGCGCAAGCCGCGAGCGATCTATCTTGCCTTTTAAATATTTAAATTATTTTACATGCCGAATGAAAACTTGTTGCGCGAGGTCAATATTGTATGTATGCATCTGACATATAGAAATTCTGAAAATTGTTATGTTCGCACAGTAGTATTTATATAGGAAAAATAACAGGGGTTGACAAATTTGTAAATTAATGCAAATTTTTAATTTTTTAATCTATTTTATTAAACTTTATATATGTATATGTATGGCTTTGAAAAAGCAAATTAAAGAATATTAATTATTTTCATAACGAAGTTGAGAAGCAAATTGTATGCAACATTATTACTGTTTTAATTGACTTTCATCGCGCTTATCTTTTTGTTGCCGATTATAACTGCAAATTGCATCATCAAATGCATTGTTTCGTCGAGAGTCGTCATGATATTCAATGCATTTTTGAACAAAACAAAGTTACAAGTACATCCTATCGCTTTTCGCGTATAATTATATATATTTATGATCAAATTATGTCGGATTATGCTCTTTTTCTTATATTAGAGATATATCGTGCAATGTACATATAACGTTAATGCAGACTACTATTTAAGTAGTTTATTAATTCTTCATTAAAAATTATTAGCTAACAGCGAAATAAAAATTTTGTAATAGCAAAAAATAAGTGTATCGGAAAAAATTAATAATAATTTAGACTATATTTTTAAATCTGTAAAAAAATTTGATGCAAAAGAAAATTTAAAAACTAATCTGAATTTTTTTCCTAAAATTTTACGCTCTAATAAAGTTAAAAAAGCAACTCAACTAGAAATATAATTTAATATAATTAATAAATTTAATATATTTAATAAATTATATTTATATTATATTTTAATATATTTAATAAATTATATAATTTGGATAGATTGTTTTTCCAACAATTTCATTTAAATTATTTATACTTGACAGTTGAAAGACTGCAAATTTGATACATATATTTTCACAAGTTGATATCTTGACGAATTAACGGGAGATGAGAGGTGAGAGGTGAGAATTGTACGATTCAAAATTTAGTTATTTATTCATCAATTTTATATTTCACATTTTGCCATATGTATTGCAAGCGGAAGCGTAAAATTCAATATGTCGTACGTATTTATTCGTCAGATACTTATCGTCCCAAAACAAACAAAAAAAAAAAAAATGCGATCGATGAAGACTGCTAGATCCTATGTCCTCGATCTGGCACATCCAAGTGGCTACGTATATTAGTCTCTTCTATCCTGTCGCCGACACACACGCGACCGGGATCTTCATCGGCTTCAGTTGCCACTTGTGACGGAGAGTTTCCGGAAGCGGCGTTTCCGGAAGCGCGCTATCATCCGAGTAATGGTCATCGTTTAATCCGTTCAAATCGCGTTGACTCAATATGTGAACCTATATGTGGACAAGATTAATTATTATAATTATTATCGTTCGATTTTTGGTTTATCGAATGTTGTAAAAGAAAAAAAGAAAAGACTTTTTATATGTCTCAGTATTGGTCAGTATTCTTATAAACATTTATAGATAATTAAATCTTTGATAAAAGCGACGACATGTATATGATTTTGTGCTGCACATATATATGTTAAATAAGGTATTTTAAATATTAATAAATTCAGAGATTTTGGAATAATGATACAGGACGCTGCGGTTCTTATATATAATAGCTCTTTTTCCAGAATTTTACCCGTATTCTGCAAATATTGACGAACGACAGCCAATGCCGTAGGTTTGATTTAATCTTCGGATCAATTTCCGAGAGATATAATTAATGATGCAGAGGAAAATGCGTTGCAAACAGTTATTTTAACATGCGTAAGCATTCGGCCGTGTCGTATTGTAATTCATTGCATCGTTGCTTCATAACAGTTCCCGGATGAGTAATCACACACGTAAATTAATGCGATTAATTAGAATCAGCCGGCAGGCAAATTCTTATCAAGGACGAATTATAACAAGGGTACCAACTGCGCACGGATTAATTAATCTTTGATATTAATAGCTTCAAAACTTCTTACCTTAATCTCATATCTCTCGCGAATAGTACAATTACGAACGCGCGTATTTTGATAAATATTAATTCCCTTGTCAATTCCACACTTTTACACGTTATTGTATCCCGGCTTAATATTCTCGCCTGTCTGATAGATAAAAAACGTAGACGACGCAAGAAATAATATGTATGTTATATATTTTTGTTTTCAATCCGTTGCGAACTGCGTCCACTCTTTCTATGTTTTTTATAAACATTGAGAAAATATTTTGTGTTATATTGATTATATTTGAATATAAACATTTTGAAAAATATTTTTTTCTAGAAAATAAAAGAGCTATACATATGTAAACAGTAGCTTATACGTAAACGTCTATTTTTTCATCTATAAATGTTAACGACGTGATGTAATAATTTAGGTCATGATACAACGACACAAAGTCGTTATTATAAAGCAAATGATTACGATGAGTCTTGATATTCTAGTGATTCGGCATGAGGGATGAAATAATATTTAATTCTATATATAACCGTGTATTTGCGAGATACAAGGTTAATATTGTATAATTAAAAGCTCCAGCATGCCAAGTCGAACGTACAAAGCATAATTAAACGAAACTCTATTACACAATTGCAGCAGTAACGGACAATTATTCAGTATCGCGTTGTTGCGATCGCACAACGTAACTTATTATTGCGGTGACCGCGACGATATTTATCTGCGGGGTGAGAAATTCGTTGATCAATAAGCCGGTGAGCTTACGCGGTCGGCGCTAGTTAAAGTTATGTATACTTGCACAGTACTCGACAACCACTTAGGCGACAGACGCGCCTAACGCGGTAATACACTACTTCACACTATACTCGGATTATCGATTGTCATGCGATCTTACCATGTAGTGAAGCAGTCGACAGGGATTGAACTTGCTCTGGCAGGCTTTCGGTTTGCAGTGCGATGCGGTTAGATACCTAGGATAATGTCCCTCGCCCAGGTCCCTTATCTCGTACTGCGTCTCGCAGGTGCATTGCAGGGACTGCGAACAATGCGTCTTTGCGTTAAATGATTTTTATTGCTTTGTATCGTATTGTCGAGAAAGGTGGATCGTTAATTGAGAGATGGACTAGGGTACGAATTTCTGAAATATGAGACAGATGGTATTCTCTCTCGGATAAATTAATAGCGTTCTTCAATATTGCTGAGCTTGTATCTATTATATATAATTACAATTTAAACCTTAAATAAATTATTCCTTTCCCCCCTAGAAGACTTTGGATAAAATCAAGGGGATGGAGGATCAAAGGAGGGGATCAAGGATTTAGGAGTTAGAATAGCTATTTAAAACTTGCACATATTTTATGATTCCATAAAGAACATTTTGGTTAATTTAATAATAAATAATTATAAAACTTGCTATTTTTATGTCATTTATATATATATATATTTAAAAGCATTATCTGTATTTTTCTCATAAGTTAATCTTATATAATTCATTTTTTCTTTGAAAAATTATTTTAAATCTAATTCTCTCTCTCTTTCTCTCTTAAACATGATTCGTCTCTTCTTTCATAAACTCATCTATCCCATATCATGTAATCTAATTAAATCGTATACTGAAGGAAGAAAGAATTCCTTATACTGACAGAAACATTTATATCAATAGAAAAAGAATACATGTTAGATTCAAATTGTAAATTAAATTGTAGGATATTTAAAGTGTTTTACGATTCAAAACTCGCTTGCTTCTACTTTCTATGATTTTTTAAAAGAAAACGCGGTTTTTATATCCATCTCTTATTTTATATTCTCATCTACGAAAATTATAAGTGAGTAGCGTATGCAAGAATGCCAAGTTAAATTAAAATGTCTTCCATGTGGCGCGGAATATTATTCTTTATATCACGAGCAGGAGGAAATGGGGCAGATAAAAAATTGAAGATAATAGAATCATTTGTAATAAAATTAATTAATTAACCAAAAAGAATGCTCGCGAAGCGATGTGACATAGAATTCACTGCACGTGCTCGATAGTTTTTCTAACGAATTTATTTTCGACCTTTCAACACCAGTTAAACTCTACGAGATGATATATTTTGATATATATTTTGAACTCGTTTTTTTTGTGTGAGTGTTGACAATGTTTCATTGTCGCTGCGTGTATTACAAAGAGTAGTCTGTGAAATAAATGAATAACGCAATAGAAAAAAAAGAACGAATTCTCTCTGTCTCGCGTACTCTTTATGTAATTCCAGTTGCATTTAATTGCTTGTTACCGCGAAATATTAAAGCAATTTTTCCATAACGCGTAAAAAAGACATTTGCAATCACAGTTACAATTATCAAATCCCTCGCAGGAAGACCTTTGATATTGTAATTTGCGTTACAACAATACGTGTGCGAAAAAATGTTTGCTTAATAATATTAATTTAAAATTTAGAATATAATATTCATATGCGTTTAATAAACTCCGAACACAAAAGTATGGAAGTACGTATACATACTGAATACTTTAATCATAAAGAAACTTTTTTATCGGGAAGACTTGACATTACGCCATTTTTTTTATTCTCCTCTAAATTATTTAAACAAAAAACACGCTTTTTTTTTAACCGACAGTCAAACGCTCTCTTGCATTACATCGCAAACCTTATCGTGTAAATGATAAATTTGTAATTTAACTCGGCTGAGACGCGACAGCGTCGTGCAAAATGCTACTTGCTCGCATAAAAAGTCTGAAAGAGAGAGAAATTCTTATAAATTATGCAAACGTACTCTCGTTACAAGACGCGGCTGTAGACCGACGTCCTCGGCGCCGGCAATCCGTTTAATCTGCTCGCCGAGTCCCTCGGGACGGAAGCTGCGCTTGTCCTCGTAGAAGAAAGCATTCCGATTGCTCGCGATGTCCTCGCGATCGTCCAGCAGAAACTCCGGCGCGACGACTTGCTCCTTCCACCGGCCGATCGACAGGACTTGTCCCGGACCTTCCGCCAGCAAACCGTGGACCATTACCTGATTTCGTACATTCAAACATTTTGCATAATTAAAATAATCAGATTAAAATCCATTTATATTATCGTAATAAAATTATACAGGATGTCCCGCGAGAAGTTACTGAAACTAATTAGAGCTGTCATTTTTAAACGCTTATAAAAAGCAGACAAAATAAAATATCTTTTAATAGAGCACACTTGGCAGTTTTATTTACGTATTATGTAAATAAAAACAATCGGATATATTTTTATCATTTAATAAACATTTATAAAAATTATAATGATGAATGCAAATATGAATATTAAAGAGACTCTTGATTTCTTAAAATTTTACCGGAGAAAACCCTGATTTTCCAATTTATCATAGAATCTACCGTTTGTAGCATGACTGCCATTTCTGCGAAATTCGATGCAAAAAAAATTAGCTATTTTCTCTATTTAATTTTTTACACGTTGCTTTAAATTAATGCTAAGTAATATATCAGATATTTTGTTCACATAAACGCAAACGGTATAACAAATTGTAGGGGGATCAACACATAGCTCGTATCTGATAGTGGCTTACACAAAGAATAAGGAGCTTCATCCTTCCCAGGACACGTCTCGCATGAGTCGTCACTGTATACTGAAGACACATCTCTAACATCCACTCCTTTTATACGAAATTATGAAAATAATAGCGCAAGCCCTTTAGTCTGAGACGATAGATGAGAGATCCCATTACATCTTGTCACCAAAAGATGCCATTAATGCCACTCGATATCTATTCGAGAGGATGCGTGGATTTCAGCAGCCTTTGTTCGCGCCGCGTCCACGCAATCCTCGTCTTTTGTCTCATTCTTGCTCGCGTGTCTATATTCATATCCATAAATAAGAGTACCTTTTCCTTCGGACTGCGAGAAAAAATCGGTTTTTTCGACCTTACCACCAAGACGGGATCGCGGCATGTAAGGGCGTCCGTCAATTTCATTCGGAATATTTGTCTCGACTGACATTGCGTAGTAAACTTGACTAGTAGACACGTATAAAACTCCAATTCCGTTTTTTTTTTTTGCTATCGTGACGCAAAACGACATGCACCATTGAATTGACAAATACGTTCGAGAGCGCGAGTCAGTGCAGTGAAATGGCTTGCAAAATAAAATTTATTTGCAGTTTTCAAGCAGGCAGACCATGTTACGCTCGCAAATCAGTTCGAAGTTGTTAACTTTGCGGAAAATTTTTCGCGAGTATCAACTCAGTATCTCTCATGTGACGTGTATTGCTATCGTTACATACGTTAGAAATTTCTGTCGATGTAACTATTGAAATTCATTTCATCGCAATATCTTTGACATATCATTTATTCCATGTTTTTTATGAGAAGAGCGATTAGTACTTTATTTAAGAATTTTAATATTGCAGTCAATTGCATTATTAAGGATTGAAAAACTTGATACAAAATATATTTTTTTTTATTCAATTCTATATAAAATTATGCAACAATAGTTTTGTTCTCATTCTATGATATTTATTCTAAAATAATTTTAATGAAAATAGTCAATTATACATTTAGTCATTTAATTCTTTTTTTTTCATTTCCCTAAAAATCAGGAATGTACGGCGTTATATGGCGAGCAATTTTCGTTGTGATTTAATTTGTCGCAGATGACTCGCGAAAAATTGATACGCGACGTCAATGTGTGTTCGATTACCATCAACGCGGACCGACGTGTCACGCCAACATTCGGACGAACAATCGGAATGGAATTTATATAGCTGCCGCGCGCGACACACAAGAATCAGAGCATGTTTTTAACGAGCTCGTCATAAGTTTTAACGACGCGTCGAAATATCGGAACAACAACGGATTGTTCTCTTCGGGGCGACGTTACTGACATGAGCTAACAGAGCGCGATACGGAAATGTCGCTATTATCCTGCGGTATAACGCAGAGAGGGAGAGAGAGAGAGAGAGAGAGAGGTAATGAAAACGCACGTTTTTCCGTCCATTAGTGCTCCCGAGACTCGTAACGAAATAACGCAACGCGTTTCGCCAAGAATCAGAGCATGTTTTTAACGAGCTCGTCATAAGTTTTAACGACGCGTCGAAATATCGGAACAACAACGGATTGGGGGCGACGGGGCGACGTTACTGACATGAGCTAACAGAGCGCGATACGGAAATGTCGCTATTATCCTGCGGTATAACGCAGAGAGGGAGAGAGAGAGAGAGAGAGGTAATGAAAACGCACGTTTCTCCGTCCATTAGTGCTCCCGAGACTCGTAACGAAATAACGCAACGCGTTTCGGAATCGCGCGAATTGCGTAACCGGCGTAGAGAAACTCGTTAATATCTTTCAATTTACCGGTCGCAGAGATTATATCGACAAAAGGTCTATGATGGGATTATGAACAATGTCGTATTATTACATTAACAATGGCATGCACGATAATAGAGTTTAATATTCGAGATGTATGCCAAATGATTCGTTAAATCCATGTGATTCAATGGTTGAAATGATGGTTGAATGCCATTCAAAGAATAATGCCGTACATTCGAATAAATAGTCATCAGATCTACAACTTTTTAGCATCTCGTATATTTTACGAATAATTTTAAATTATTAACATGATTTGTAGATTGGTTTTGGTATTAGCTATGTATTATTATTAATTATTATATATATATATTTGTGGACTACTAATTGAACAATGTAATTTCTTTCAGAAGAGTCTCTCTCTCTCTCTCTCTCAATAATATTTAGATATCAATAAATTACGTACATTAAATTCTGCAAATATGAAACAGTATGTATTTTTTGGCACATATATCGCACATTCTCGGCGCGTTTAATTGACTTTCATAATTCAATTTGGTTTTATAGTCATTGAATTATATTCATATTGTTTATATGCGACAAACATATAAGCGATGCATGCAGATACACGCAATTATTATGGCCAAGAATTATTTTCTGCACTAGATATACGAGAATAGGATCGATCGCAGGTACTCGCCTTCCCTTCTCTACCTTCGTTTCTGCTGGCTGTTCGCGGTTTTCCCGTTTACGTGCGTGCACTGGATCGTCTGATTAGATCAGTCAGGCTGCAACGACAAAGCATCGCGAGGATAATCACAATCCAGCATTCATTTTCCCCAACATTGTCGTCGATCATCGTGAAAATATTCCTGACAACGTAGGAAAGAAAACGTTTCTTTCTTCCATTCGTGATGCACGAGCGATTTAAATAAACATTGGAGATGGTTTTTCCTTAGCAAAAATATTGACATTAATAATTTTCGAGTTATAAAGAAGCTTTAAAAAGAAGAGCTTTTCATTAAACTTTGAGAGTCTAAAGATTAACAAAACTATATTTTTTTATTAATTACAGATAGAATATATATACTTTAATAAGAAATTTAATTTTAAATTCAGTTACAAAAATATATAATAAGAAAATAGCAAAATTTATAAAAAATGATGACTTGCAGAATTTTTAGCGAATTAAGCTTCAAAAATAAAAAGACTTGTTAGTTTTAGCCGGATTTTATATCGACAGAAATTTTATTAAAACTTGTAATTTTAATTTTATTTCAAAATAATGAATTTTATACATGTAAAATATTTAACTTTTAATATATAATTAATGTTATCTTCTACATCATTATATATTACGTCATTTACAACCCCTTAGAGATAAGATACACTGCAAACGACGTTGAGGGCTTTTCCATCGGTGATAAAGGATTCTTGTGAAATTCAACTAACATCCTACCAAAGTTGTATAACATTTCGTATCTGTCTGTAATAATTAATTATCCAGAAGTTAAGGAAGCGCACGGGAATATGGTTGCAAAGCAAAGTCGATCTTGAAACACAAATCCAAAAGGTTGATGGAGGATCCGCTAAAAGAGCTCTATTGACATGTTACACGAGCGTCATTAAAACTTTTGTTCGATCTTAATTCTTGTAGTAAATATTAAATACTCAGCAGATCTCGGAAGACGTCGAAGAATGATCTTCTGTTAATCTTTCAAGTGATATTAATCTGTACATATTCCGTTTATCTCTCGATATTAATCTCCTTCTCAAGTCTTCTAAACGCCGTTTTGACGTCGGAGTTTGACATTAATTGATGCGTTATCGAAAAATACTTCATTTGACGAGAATTACTAATGATCAGAAAATACGTCAAGTTTGATAAACGATTATTAATTATTTACTCCTCTGAACAGTTTAAAACGTATAACTTTAACATTATCGGGATACGACGATGTGATGAAGAAGCTTTCTTCCTCAAGCTGACAAGTTTATTAAAGTGTTATTATATCCTTCTCTAGATTGATAGTAAAATAATTAAGCTCGCCATCTTATCGGATACATCCTTATATTCTTAGAGAGACAAATTTTTTAAAACTTTCTTATCAGTTTATGTGACAAAATTTTCGACCAAAAGTTTTTCATCACCGTCTAAAAAATAGTTTTTATCGAGATGGTTATTGGAGATGGTTATCGGCTTTTTTTTTTTTTTTTTAGGAAAACGAAACATTGTAATAGCAATTATTTTTTTAATACTAGAATAATTTTATAAAGTTGGATTGTCGCTTTATTCTTGAAAATTGAAAAAAAAACCGAAGAGAGATAGATATAAAGAAAATTTTTACAAAACTGATGCATTTGAAAAAAATATAATTTATTAAATGCAGGATATATTAAACTTGCCATAATTAAGAAGATTTTTATTTTATATCATCGCATCTTCATCGCGAGGAAAATGATACGCAGTTTATTTCGTATATCTACGTTGCTGAAAATACTAAACTTATTTAGTATTTATTTATTCGAAATAGTCTCGTCTGTTAATTCGTTATAATTTCACATATAATCGTCTTTCGCATAAAATAGAAATAAAGACGTGTCTAATCGCTGTCGAAGTGCGTGCTCGCGTCTGCGCGACATTTGCGCCCCTTCCTAAACAGGAGGGGAACGCAGCCCTCTATATATTTCATGGAAGCACGAGACTCGGGGCACTCCACGCGTTTTTCACGACGTGAGCATCCACGGGTTACGGAGGATACCAAGCGATAGATCACGATTTTCCTCTGGAGAACCAGTCATTCGGCATCCGTTTTGGCACCAGAGGCATCCTATACCAGACAACGCGGCGTGATGGCGGTTTCCTCATCGATCGCGATCGTTTTCATCGGTGTGGCCGCTTACGCGGTTACGGCCGGGCCCGTTCAGGTAAAATACACCCCTTATTTATTTCTGTCAGCGTCACGTAATTTTAATTGCATTTTTTATTCGACTCTCTGTGAAATAAAATCTTTAAATATTTAATTGTCAGAATCTAGCATTTTATACGTTTAACGGATTTCACGTTATTTCATGGCTAAGCTGAAAGATGTTTTCTTTTAATATGGTTTTATTATTAATTAAACCTCTCGTCAAATAAAATTGAGAGAAATTTGTTTGAGAGCATATCTATAGACTTGAAAATTTTTCATGAAAGCATTGAATAAAAAGCGTCGTGCAGAGATTTTAAGCGTAATTGGGTTTTCAGATGTGAAGAGTTAATTCATTTTATCATACAAAACAGAATATAAATAGCACATGTAAGAATAATATTTCATGTAACGTAAAGAGATTTGCGTTAGAAATATCAGTTGAATATTTTGCGCGTATATATTGATGGATTTTTTAAACTAAATTTTTTTTAACTAAAAATCTGCGCGACATTTTCTCAATTGCGCAATAGCAATTCGATACATGCATGCATAATAAATAAATCAAGGGAAAAATAAACAGACCATGAATATAATAATATTGTATTTTCTCGCTAACAACGATTTAATGATAAACAATGTCATAAATTCAAAAACTAAATATGTGAGAATTTGCACATTAATAACTTTTATCTGTATAAATACTATTGTAATTATAGCAATCCCCATTGCGTTTTAAAATTATTTTATGAAAGTCAAAGTTTTTTCACACACACACACAGTTAAAGGCAATTTATTCTAAATGTAAATGTATTTTTTTTTTAAATTTTATCATTGTTATACGAAAAATTGTAAATTTACGTTGAAGATAAATTTATTACTTTTAATACGGTAATTAAATTGGAAGATGTGAGATTCATCGGTATGCTTTAATTTGCAGCAAGCGCATGCAACAGGCGCGTATTCACGCTGCAAATCATAATTGCGAGTAATAACATGAATGAACATTACATCGGAATAGCTGTTTGTTTGCTGATTTCGACAATTGCGTATTATACGCAAACGAGATTGAATTGTGTTTGACATTACGCGCCACCGGTATGTAATTAATCTCGTCACGTTATAGCGAACATAATTGAATGATAAAACGCGTGACACAGTACATAGCTTTGAACATGATGAAATTAACTGTCCGAAATGTATCGACATTATTGTTTTAAGATTATAAAAAAGTTGTTATATTATCGTGTTCAAAAATTCAAATAATAATTCTACTTAATATTAATAAAAATTAAATTATTATTATACTAACGCTATGATTATACATAAACTGACTGTATATAATAACTGCACAAGAGTATCAAATTATAGAGAGTATTAAATTATTCTCGTAAAAGATGATTACGATCATATTACTTCAAAATATCAATTTAGTACGGATTATCTACGCATGACAGCAATATTTAATATCCGGCAAAAGGCAATAGCCGCGCAATTAAATAAAAAAGTGTTTTGCAAAAAAAAAGGAGATCGGAATTTTTTGCGAGAAACTTTTTCTTTTTATGAGGAACGCGCGTAATAGAGAGAAGCACAAATTTACACGGTGTAATTACGGGAGCGATCCCGCCTCCGCTTCGTAGATCTACCTATGTAGTCCCGCGCTTTATATTAATCCTACCCGTCGAACCCCTCCGGGAGAGAACTTGGACGTTTGTCTCTCGTCTCTTGTGCTTTTTACTCTTGTCGCTGATAATGCCGGGAGCGCGATGCGCCTCGTTGCGTTCGCAACTTGTTGCATCCGGATCTGGACCGCCTCTTGACGAAGTACGCTCATCTTAAGTAGCTATTCCAAATAGTCTTCCCTCGCGTATGCTATTCTCGTGTCATGACCTTTTCCCGCGACATTATCCACGCGAAATTACTGCGTTCAATGATTCTCGCCTCGTTCCTGATCTCCGGTCGGGGATGAGCCGTGAAGTCGCGACATATCGGAGAAAGCTGCACTTTGCCACTCTCATTTCGCACTTCCGCAGATTGAAGTAATCTCGGTAGCGTCTCTCGATAAAAGCGAAAAATGAAATCACCGCACTTCCGAGCCGCCGCGAAGTGGAATAAGCGAAGATCGATCATAAAAATAGGGAGAGTATGCAAAAATAAAACTCAAAACTATTTTAATCATACTTTATTCTTTAAAAAAAAAATGTATAAATAATATATTTTCTAATAATCACTTGTTTAGTTGATTTTCACTGACATAAATCACTATATTTTCGGATAAATATATAAGATTATAACTTTAATGTAATCCGCGTACTTTCTCAAAAAATAGCTTTTGACTTTAGCTTCACATTACTATCGTTCGAATCTTGTCGTAGCAAGAATTTATTTTTACTTTAGCTTCCGTGACATTTATCTCTAGCGAGGAGAAGTCAAGTTGAATCTGACCAGAGAGCGAGAGAAAATTCTTTGGGGCGACATCGAGAGAATAATATATTTCTCTGTTTTATAAAATGTCGTATAGTTTTCTCTCTTTTTTCTACATATTTCACCCGACGATACCATCGGCTGTCTCTAATGCAAAAACTTAAAGCAAGTACGCGGGGCGTACACGCGAGATTGTAATTTGCAAGAACATTCGCGATAGCCAACTACACCAGAGACGGAGAGATGCTCGCGAGACGAAGCTTCGCAACCGCAAATTCCCTGAACGGGTTAAAGATTGGACGATGTACAATATATGTCACGGCCCGCGTGATATGCGTTTCTGCACGCAAAAGTTTTCCCATGCATACTAATGGTGCCCATGAGGCAGCCACGCGATATGCACCTGGGATGATATTTGGATTCGCCTTGTAAAATGATGGCGCATGTGTGCGCCAGAATATCGATATATGTATTATATGTTCTCGTAATCTCCAGTTTTTCATAAACAGAAATCGCGTCTCCCTTTTGCATTTTTATAGTTGAGCAATGTGACACTGTAAAAGGAGATAATCGCAATTCTACATATACGCACACAATGGAATTCATACGGATTTATACAAAAATAAATAATAGATATTTATGTAACTTTGTGTAATTTTTCTTAAAATATAGTTATATATAATTGTTAATTTTTTAACCAGAAAAATAATTATGCAAAAATACAGTTATAGTTTTGCTTTGCTTTTGTATACGTTATAAGTAGATTTATTATACAACAAAATATGAATTTTCATGATTTATTAAACTAAGAAGTATAAATTTTTTTAGGCAAAAGAAGAAATAAATAAAATTTAATAATCTTTTCGAGAAGGAGAATGTGTGTGCGTGTATGTATGTTTATATACGCACTATATTTATGTTCATTAGTTTATTTAATTATTATTATTAAAATACTTAACATATATATACATGTATATATCTATGCATGTATATCTTTCTTTTAGATTTATATAACTTCTAAGACTTTTTAATTTTTTTGGATATACATGACATAAATATTATATACATAACATATATATATGACGATATCATATTTTTCATGAAGTTTGCAGTTACAATCTTTTTTTACGCTTTGTATACGCACATACGGCCTGTTCTCCTAAATTTACATAATTTCTGAAGTATTTCCCCGATGATATATAATTTAATATTCCAATATTAATACATAATAACGATATCATATTTCTCATAAAGTTTACAGTTGCAGTTTTCTTGTATACTTAGTAGAAATAGACTTTTTCTCGAAAAATGTAAATTTTTATCAACGTTCTTTATTCTATACGAAAACCTTCGCAATCTTTGTTTCACGATTGTTGTACTTAAATAAGATTGATACGACAGCGCGCTATTTCTAGAAAGCATTTAATTTCTCGTTGATTGCTCTCCCTCGTTACTTATTTAAAATAGGTCAAAACTTCATTAACCTGTTCAACTATGAACTGCAACTCGCCAGTTACTATATATCTCGCGTTGTAAGTAACGGTGCGTGATGAAAAACGCGATTCCATCGGGGGGTCGATCGAAGTTACGCCGTCACCGTCGGCGTTCGAGGTTTTAAGAGGGAAATTAAATCCGTAAAATTTTCTATCCTTCGGCGCACTTTATGATGCATGTGAAACCTCATTTTCTATCCCTATCGATATGCAGCTGCTGCGGAAGACCTTGAAGTGAGTACAAAAAAGCTTTTTCATAAAATTCAATTGAACCGCTAAAATGCGTCGTGTTTCAAAAAGAGAGGGAGAGGAGAAAATATACACATCAATGCTCGTGTAACGCATGGCTTTCAGTTTTGTCAAATGTTAAGGTCGTGAATAATCGATAAATTCGGAGAATGGAAAAACTCTTTTCCATCGAAATAAAAAAAGCAGGCGATTCATCGAACAAAGACGAATACCTTCGATACAATGTCAACTTTAACGCTCGTAATTGCTCATGCGAGTCAAGTAAATGGTATAATGACAAGCCATAGCAGTAATATATCGATCTATAAATGTAGGTAGCAGGATGCATTCAAGGTTGATCTAAAGGATTAACTATTGCTTCAAGTCTTGCAAAGGACGGTATTAATATTAAATAAAACATACAATGATAAATTATATAACTTTTAAAAGATATTCTAAATAATGGAAGTTTTTGCAAAACCTATATATTTAATTAACACATGATTTTCAACAGAAAAAAAAGGATTTCCTTTCTTTTCAAGATATCTTATAAATGGATTGCTTCTATCTCTCCACTGTAACAAAATTCAATTTTTAAACTCCACTTGTGAATAAAATAAACTCAAACAAATACAAAGAGGTGAAAAATATGAAAGAGAAATGTTATCAACAACTGCGAAAAAATGCATAAAAAAATAATATGAAAGTCGGGGAGTTAGCATTCGGCGAATGTACGCGACCGTACAATATCGACCATCATGATGTATTTTTAATTTAAGCGAAACTAGAAAATGATATCAGAAATTTATAATATACATCTGTCGCGAGGAAGGTTCGATCTGCGGAGAAATAAAACCGAGTACCGAAGCGACGAACGAAATTGTAATTAGCATAATGCAACCCTCGTTGCAACCTCGTTGCAAGCTCGATAAGATATCGCGAAAAAGACGACGAGCACGTGCCGTCGACACGCCAAGAACGGACTTAGCACGTGGTCGGTAATTCTTCACGCGATCAGTTTTGCATTATGCATGCACGCAAGTCAATTTTCTCTTTTTTCGCCCAATATTATGTATATTGCTCGTTCAATTTTATCGATGTCGGACAAATACTTAAATATATATATCGGAATGAATAATTGCGTTTTTTGCGGCGAATAAATAATCCTATGCTTTCGATCTAAATACATCAAGCTTATATAGAGATATTGTAAACTCGCGACATTCGAATAACGATATATGATGCGATAAATTTTGCAATTGTTAACTAAAAAGATAAATAGATAGATATACTTCTTTCCGCCGCAACACAAATATATTTTAAGAGACACACGACAGGCGCATAAAAAATTATTCGTGATTTTAAACATACAATTTTATACATGTTTATTACATGATAATTATAGCGATACTAATGATATTAATAATCATACAGAAATATAGAACATCTATTATTTATATAATTTATATAAATCAAAATCCTCAAAATTTTATTTTTTTTTTATTGATACTACGTTCATGTGAAATTTCTCTCCCATGTGATTTCTATTTATCTGATTTCCTGATGTTTTTAATATTAATAATAAAGTTAAATTATATAATCCTGTTGTGCCATTTTTACATTTAATGAATGTTGATGTACATAAAATAAAATATAATAATTTTCAAACAATACATAGTTGTATTAGTAACAAGAACAAGATGCTTGTGGCTATAATTAAAAAGTTTTGCTCATTTTCTGATTACAGGGTGTATCGAACGCGCTGCAACAAGACGCATATGTATCCCCGGATCTGGCAGTTGTAGCAAGATACTTGGAAAATCGCAGTGAGTATAAGACAAAAAAAAAACAATTGACTTGCTCATTAGGGAGAGACAAGAGAAAATGTCTAAAGATAGAAAAACATACAGCAAATTTTATTTTTCAAAATATCAAAGTAGCTTTCTGAAACCAACATTGCAAGGTTATTAAAATGGATATATCTTTTAAATCAAGTAAAAGATATATATATATTGATAATTTACTATTACGAGTACTATTTTTAATCAATGTCTTTTATCGGATTTCCGTTTTCTAAAATCAATTTTTAAATTTTTTGATTATGTCAGCCAAATTTCTTTAATCTTTATTCGCGCGTGTATTTGTCTTTAATATATACATAGATAATAGTTTCTTTATTCTTTTCATTAGAAGATTGAATTTATAAATAAAATCAACGACAATATTTGAAATAAAATATATAGAGATAAAGATAAATATTTGCAAATATCTGCATTTTAAATGTGTCGTAGAATAATTTTTGTACCATATAATATACAGTTGTACAAATCAGATACAGCTCCTCTCTTTCTCTCTGCTTTTGGTCAATACAATAAATAATAAATACATAAATAAATACCGTCTAAAATCCGTTTGCGTTATCACGCGACGGACATCAGCAGACACGAATAAAGCCGAAAAACACTGGTCATCCTGCTTTCAGAGAAAAACGTTTTATCGTCATGAACTTTTTGCAAGTACACGCGATTGATGCGTTAGTAATTCGTTACTGTTATTAATTTTTTTACTTTCATTTCAAACATATTGAATATATATTAAATATACATACTGACGAGTATACGCATCGGCTAATTATAGTGAATTATGTATTGTACCGGGGAAAAAAACAGTGCGTGATCGATACCGCATCGAGGCTACTATACGTAAAGAGTGATCCTTTGCCCTTTGATGTATCATTTTTATACTATGCGATCTATGAACGGAATTGTGTATTAAGATCGTCTGATATATTTAATATCAGTCTGATATATATTACCCATATCAATGTTTACATTATATACTTTAATTAATTAGTAAAGGAGTGTCGAACGATTATGTTAACATATTGCCTGAAATAGCTTGATCATATCACAAAATTATAGAGTGAATTGAAGTTAGTATTAAGTAATTACACATTAATATCAAGACAAATGTAATACTATTGTGGAAAGAAAATATTAGAAGAAGAAAAAAAGAAGAAAGAAAGGAATTTTTCCATTTTACCGAACGTCGTATATTTTGTTTCGCAGATATATAATTATACAGAGAAGACATAAAAATTATATATATATATATATACTTGGAAACTGCATATTTCTAGATTTACAATGCTTTCCGTGAAAAAAAGAGAAATAAAGAAATTTTGTTAAAAGTTAAAGCTTTTTAAGGAAGAAAGAGAAATAAAGGGAAAGAAACTGATATGTACATAGAATATAAATTTCCTTCTAACATTTCTAATAAGATTAAATGCTGTAAAATTCAAATTTCTTCCACGATTGGGGTTATTCATGAACAACGCAGTTTTATTTCATATGGTCGATAGGATATCCGATCATAGAATGCATTATGTTATGTTGACTAATCATTGTCTTGTTGTGAAATCGGATTATCAAGATTAAATAAATAATAAATTGTAGAGCGTTTGAACGCACCAAAGGCTATCTGATAGATAGAAAATGTCATTGAAACGTGGTTTTATGACGTGATTATCACGATGCACCCCCTGATTGCATTTTATGGTTCGATTATAAAGCATTACAATTCAAACATAAAGTGATTCTGCAAGATATCTACATTTACTAGGAAAAACAAAACATGAGAAACACAATAATTAAATTGGCCGTTCGTATCCATTTCAATTAGCTTAAACTTTATTAATTTAAAAAATACATGAACAAACAACATTGACGTCGATATTTTAGCAAAATAATAACATACGATATCTATAATTAATTTCTGAAAATTTTCTTGCAAAAAAAAAGAGTAATTTATATATACAGAAACATTTTCTTAGTAATAGATCAGAAATAGATATTGGGAGTATTAAATATGTAGAATATTGATTCGTACACAAATTACTTTTAAGTCGATTTTCTGTAAGATCATTGTACGACACAAATATCCTTACTCGACTGATGAGATACGTGTTCATTAAATAATAATAAAGCGTCTTCCCTTTCCTTCGGCCGGTCTAGTGCTTGAGAATTATATTAATATTTGGTATACGTATAAACGAGCTCGCAGCAATGAAACATTGATACGATCGACGGTCTTATACTCCTAACTTAATAATTCACGCATCATTTATTCACATTGTCATTTCGACCCTTCCGACCCTGGTATTTTCGCTTTAACATATATGCCCATTTATCATTCATTATATTTTTATATTAATCACACACATCTATGTAAAATACGCGTGTCTGACAATTCAAGAAAAATCAGACCAAAAGTTTATATAAACTAGAATCGAATCTGATCATTGATAGGCGTGGGAGATTTGCGATCAGTATAAATCACGCGACGGAAAGAGATTCGCGTGTGAGTGTCAAGCGCGCAGAAAATTGTCACGTACGAAATGACATACACGCGGATTATTGATAACATCGTCGACGAGCCGGTGCCGAAGGTAAGCGTGTAATAGCAGTTTAGGCATGAAAATCCGTTAATGTCACCTATCTTCGCGCATGCCACGACAATGTTTGCCTCGCATGCTTTCGCACTTAGGTCTCCCGTAACTTTTACTCAAACTCCTGCTGCACGATAAAGTTCGCCCCATACGCGCGGTTCTTCGACGATTTTAATGGCACGCATAACTCGTGTGCATGTATTATCGTATAAAATAGCACAGCATCGCGCGATAAGAAAATTGAGGAAAATGTATTGTTTCTAACAAACATTTTGAAACATTGATTGTTAATCGTCAAATGGTTACATTAATTAATGTGATAATTTTGCATGTATTTATCATATTCAAACAATATTTTTAATTTTCAATACATCCATAGCTCTTCAGGCATTAATTTATAACGCATGACATATAATTGCATGAATCACGATTGTAAATTGATATCGCGAATAAATGTAAAACGAGAATTGAAATCAATAACATGTTATTTTGGTGAATTCATATTTTGATACAAAATTTAGAGAAATACCCTCTATATTATTCTTCCTTTGTATTTATTTAGTATAATATGCATATGTAGTATTGAAGATCGCGGTGTAATTAACAGCGTAGTATGAATATTTTAGTATTCAGTATTGCATTCACCAAAATAATATTGGTTTTGATACCCGATGGAGAATTATATTAATTTTATTATTTCATTATTATAGGAACGAATCAGGCAACGAAACGAAACTTGGATCAGTACGACGAATATCGTGTGAGAGATACTGACAGACAACTCAGACTTTTAATAAATGAATTAACAAATCGCTTGGCTCAACATTCTGTCAGTGATGAACGATTACTCGATGCAATCCGAGATAGAGTTGCTATTGATGAAATCTTTAATTTTCCAAATGCCAATCAAGAGAATGAACAATTAGACCATATTGATGATGGGCACCAAGTGAGAAATCTCGATCAAATCGGTGGTGGACATCTTGTGAGAAATCTGGATCAGATTGGTGGCGGACATCTTCTGAGGAGTTTGGACCAGAGCCGAGGTGCATCGCTCGCGAGGAATCTTGATCATATTGGCGGTGGACATCTTGTGAGGAATCTGGATCAAATCGGCGGTGGAAATCTGGTTAGAAACGTTGATTCCTCGAGTGCAGAAGCAAGACGGCGCGTTGATCAGTCCGTTGCACAGCGCGTTGCAGCAGTCTCGAGACAGCTGCAATTAGCGCGGAGTTTGGATCGAGCCAGGAGCAACAATCGCTTGAAAAACATTGAGCAAATCGACGGTGGAAATCTTGTGGGAAGCAGGCATTGGTTTAGCTCATTGAACTAAATCCAAAAAAATCTATAGAAGATGAAGAGGAAGAATTTATTTAATGGCTTAAAAATGATCGTAAATGCGAGAGATGACTAAATTTATTCTTTACGACATTATTTCTGTTTCCTAATTGTTCAAGAATTATGTATACTTTATGTAAGAAATTGGAATCAATTAATCATATTCAATAAATACGCATACAAAGGACATGCTCTCCCTCTCTCTTTATTTTGGTATAATTAAAAATTTAAACAAATCACATAAAATAATAATAAATTGAGAAGTTAAATTTAGAAAATATAAAACGAATTTAATTCACAATTTTATTTTTTACTTTTTGTCGCTTAATATATTTTTTATCTTCATTTTAATTAAATTATTTTTTCCATTACATTTTCTATTATATTTCTTTCTTTCTCTCTCTCTCTTTTTGTATATACATATACATATTTTATAGAAACAAGATACATTAATTTTATATATATATATATTATATATTTTGAAGATTTTAAAATTATTTTCTTAAATAGAAATTGAATTCGAAAATATGTATGTTTCATAATACGTTATTAGAAAAGATGCAAAGTTTAAAAGAGAGCTATTTTTTCTCTGAAAATATTAATTATACGAGTTACTTTAAAAAAACTCAATTTTAAATAGATTACATTGCGATACACACATTTGATCCACAAATGCGTGACGAGTATATTACTTAGTTATAATAATCATCGAATGGACTGACTAATTGCTTTACAGATGAACAAATATTCGAATATTGACATTGTATATTTTATTGTTTTTTTTTTTTTTGTTTTATCAAATATACAGCAGGAAGAGTAATAAAATTCTAATCTTTACGGGCGTATTTATACTCTTTTCAATCCGATTGTTTGATGTTCATTCTTGTAATATTATCCAGTCTCCCACATTAAAATCAACGCAAATCTAGTACAGTTTTTTAAAATGTTCAAGATGCAGGCAACCGCAATTTAGATGGTCATCTACTGCGGCAGACACGTCGAGGGTTGGATTCGCTATCTGGGGCAACCTTTGGTGAAAACAAGAGATACGTACCTCTCAGGTAAGATGTTATTTATTGATTCGCATACACGATATCTAATGATAAAATGAGAGTTTATTTAAGTGAAAGCTTAGTGAAAGCTTTCACTTAACTGAAAGTTAAATGAAGCTTCCATCAAACAAATTTTTAATCTGTTCGGCGATTTATTAAATATTGGACTGTAAAATATTTAAGGATTTATCTCAGGATATATTTCAGGAATATCTGATAAAATAAAGATGTTCTAAATTAAATCTGTAATATATAATTTTTTGGTTTTTTTTTTTTTTTTTTGTAGAAAATGCATTATTGAAGGATTATATATATAAGTTTCTTTAAAAAAATTAGTTATGTGTATTAATTTTTCTTTAACCAAAATTATGTAATTTGTTAATCTTTCTTTCCGCCCGCGTTTGTCTACGTCTACGTTAATATTCTTACGGACAACGATTGGAATATTCTAATCGAAAATTGGTTCCAAGAATTGCCAAAGGAACAAATTTGAAAAATCGAGCAGATAACTCGAAATAAAACTATTTAAGCAGAATATAAGCAGATTTAATTATAATTTGCGCGATCAATTAAACAAAAGTTTTAATTCAAAATTAGAATCGCGGATTAATATGGACTCGATTTAATATGCGCACTTTTATTAACATTAGTACATAAATATGCTGCACATAAAAAAAACATTTGATTTCTCTTGCAGAGAGACGCCTAATTTTTTCTATGTAGAATGAGATAGAGCACCTTTGAGTTTGTTTCTTCAGTGGTTCGTTGAATAAAAATATTTTTTCTGAGTTTTGTATTTCACGCGTGTAAATGTTATTTTTATTTCCACATTTTTCTTTTTCAAGGGAACTGCAGCGCGATTTCTCCCCACTTGATCGAGATTATTCTCGACGAAATAAAACAACCATCATATTGCCAGTTGTGTTCGATATATATACATACAACTTGCCACATTTTATTCCTCCCCTCGCGATCTCTCGTCACTTTTCTATATATTTCTCTACCTGCCCCGACAGTAAAAGTGCCACGTGTCGTTTTATTAAAGGGTCACACGCAAGGGGCTCAATTTCCTTGTCAAATTTGATACATTCGCTTTTTGTGATCGCGTTTCTGTCGGCAACTCTACCACAAACGCGAACTTGATCATTGCCTTTCCACTCAAGTTTATATAAGCGCTAGACAACGAATGCTGCTCTAAATATTCGATTACATTACCTGATCTAACAAAAAAAGTGAAACGTTAAAATAAGAGGTGAAATGCGTATTGTTTACAATTCTTTTCGCGATAACAAAAGTTTTATTCAACGACGAAAAAAGAAAAATTTAAAAAAGAAACTGATTCCATTATTCGTAGTTTCTCCGATATTGAATAACACTTTTGGCCTCCAAAATATATATCTATCGCTACACAATTGTATCAAAGTTTTTTCTCTTTTCAATTTTTCGAACCATTTTTATTTTAGACAGTATTCCGATAAAATTTTTGTACTAACTATCGCCCTTTCGTTTAATGCCAACGTTTTTACAAATTCCTGATATCAGAATACCATTGCAGGTATTCAATTACATTCGTCCGATCTCGCTGAAAGAAAAAAAAAATAAAAGAGAATTATGCGTCAGTAACGATCATATCTCGATTCTCGCGGCTGACTGCGAGTCGATATTTCCTTCGTCATGTCTGACCAATTCCGGCAATAACTCCTCGTTTGAATATTTTTGACCGTAACTACTTGCCGCATTCACAGCAAGAGATTATTTGTACGCGCTATTATTATATAATAGTTTTTATCTTTAAAGAAATCTTAAAAGAAATAAAATATAGAATTATGTTTGACTTTTAACTTATTAACTTATTTTTCCGATTTAAAAAGTATGTTCTGATAAAATTCCATTTAATTTGTATTTTTTATAGACATATCTCGCTCTGAAATTTATTGCTTTTTTAAAAAATAAAAAATAAAAAATTTCTTCTATATGTTCCTATCTTATTTTACATCCAGCTGAAAAGTAAAATATTTAAATAAACAAGTTACTCACACAGATAATGTACATAACATGTTATCATATGGTCATTATTATAGGCGATTCGGCGCGATAAGCTTACAGCCAGGTAATTTCGACGAGATCGACCGATCAGCATTCGATCGTTTCTCCAAGAGGAATATCGACGAGATCGATACCGCGTTCGACAGCTTCTTCAAACGGAACTTCGACGAGATCGATCGGGCCGGTTGGAGCGTATTCGTCAAGAGGCTCAATAATTATCTTGCGGACAGGCAGCGACGTTAATTGGCGCAGGATACAAGAGGCGGGAGGAGAGAATAGCGGGACGAAAGGACGCGAGGAAAGGGCAAAGGGTAAGGAGAAGAACCGCGCGTTTCAGAGAACTCGTTTAATTTAAACTTGTAAAATTTTGGCAAAATTAATTTGACTTGGCAAATTAGGATCATCTCTTCTGCTGCCCTTGAATGGTCGCACGTTTAAGAACGAACTTACTCGATGTGAAATATAAATATTTGTGGGATTGTTTTTCTCGCGATCATTGGGCATTTTTTAGCTGATGCAAGATCGTTCAATATAATTTTTAGTTTCCTTGTTTAGAATCGCTGGATTGTGTATTTTCGACCACAAATTCCAGAAACTAAGCTAGCAGAAAAATGGCGATTATTTCATTGTAAAGTATTTATAGTTATCAAAATATCTAATATTTAAAAAATTCTAAGTTTTTTGCAAACTCTAAAAATAAATACGCAAGTCTTTCATGTATTTTGATTAATTTTAACTAAGCTTTTATAAAAAAAATATATTTTTTTGAATAATACATAGTATATTCTTAAGATATTTTTAATAGCAAATAATTTAAACGCTTGCGACAATTGAAGGCCTACCACAAAAATTTCGTTAATCAAGTCCATATTTGTCATAAAATCTGTAGCTAGCAGAATATCCATATTAGTGTATTAAAATACCTCTTATAGATAAAATATGCGAAACAAACGAAAAATTAAAAAATGTAAGGGGCTTATTTTATTTAATTAAACCTATGACAGATTTTGCTGGACAGATAAAAATGTTCAGAATGAATCAAAGAAAATTAATCGCCATTTATTGATTCCGAAATAATTGTTAAATAAAATAGTCGGATTTATTTCAAAGACGCTCTTATATATACTTGTACTGTTACAATCTTTGACGACTCATTGACACACGCTGTGCCGCAAAAAATAACTAATTTACATTCTAATATGTACGGCGTGTATATATTGTTACTGTGTAATTAATTGTATATACTAATTCTCAAATCAATGTGTGAATTTCAGAATTATATTGCACAAAATTATAAATACTCAAATTTTAGGAGTGATTAAGAAATGTAAACGTAATGGAACGTTGTTCTTCTTTGAGAGAACTCATTTGAGAAAGAATCTCGATGGCGTAAAAAAATACTCAAAATATCTTTATGTCCAAAGCATGTGACCTGGCAAAGATGTTTCTTCGCGATCAATCATAAATTAAAACAATTTAAAGCCGTCACTTTGACGAAATTTGATCGATTAAATATCATATAAAATGTATTACGCGATTCGTCCTCTCTACTCGTATAATGTCACTCTGTAAAAAATGTGCTATCTAAATAAAGAGAACGATAATCAATGACTGACCAACTGAAGATGTAGCATAAAAAGATTACTGATGTTAAGAAAGTTTCAAAAGGAACAATACTTAATAATAAGTGACATCTTATTTATTTTGAAAGAAAAAGAATAAAACTCATGATTTTATACAGTTACTTTCTATGTGATACACATAACATAGCGTGTGTATTTTTCAATGTCAGATAGCTTTCTCAAAAATAATTTCGTGAAACTATAATGTTTACAACCTTTTTATGCTGTCTTCAATTATCATTATTTCTTTCATCACATATTCCTGTATACACACACATACATATAAAATTTCGAAATTTTTAAAAGAATTTAAAAACTAGCATTTACCAAATATATAGAAAACATTATTTACTTATTTATATTTTATTTTACATATATAATTTTTTCTGCGAGTTTTTTTTAAAAACGTAGACAATCACCAAGAAAAGAAACCGAAAGATTACGAAACAAATTTATCCGATGATCATTTTAAGTTTCGCATTTCCAGGGCGGCCGAAAGCCAATGGGTTTTGCATAAGTTTCCACCGGTCTCGGATCGTTCAACAATTGGACTTCCGGATAAGCGGGCGTACGCGGTCTCTCCTGTTTCTCGGACGTTGTTACGTTCGAGAGATCGGTAATATCATACGACTGCGACGCGAGGAACTTTGAACCCGCGATTGGATTATGTGGTTCCTTTAATCCTATGGAAGTATTCGTCGATATCCGCAATTTCTTCTGCGTTCGCGGACGGTCAGATTGTTGCTGCTGCTGCTGTTGAGATTGTTTCTTCCTCGTCGTCATGAGAATGCTCTTGACTTCCTCGTTGATGTCAGCTGGTGTCTCGATCCGTACGTTCTTGGTATTGTGATCCATTCGCACCAGCTGATAAAGAGAAACAGAATCGTTAACTAATCAGCTACAATATAGATTATAGGCTAATTTAAATATATGACGTCTTCAAATAGCTGAGGAATGGATTCTGAATTTATTTCATTGCAATTCTTTGTTTTTCGTGATAGTTTTGATATAAAACAATAGCGTATATCTCACATTTTTATATTTTTGCTAAAATATGAAAATTTTTATACATTTTGAAAAGAAATATTTGAGAGAGAGGAAATACGCCTATATATAATATATATTTCCATCTAATAATTTCATAATATTTTTCTGGAATATATGTTTTACGATATTTTGTAATATTATATCGCAAGACATCGGATTAGTTTACTAAAGTTTATATATTATTAAGAAAGGTTCTTTTTTATTTCTCGAACTAAAAAGAAAAGCTGAAATATTTATCTCTATTTATCGTTTATACCTCGATCAATCCTTCCTCCAGCTCGGAATAACGTTGCAGCAGCAATCCTATTTTCGAACTAAGCTTCGTTAAATGATCGGTAATGGATAATTCTTTGGCGATGTCCTCCTTCATCTGTACAAGCAATTTTAGCAAATATTGCTGTGTCATACTATTCTTTCAATCGTGTTCTTCAGATAATTTAATTTAAAGTACCTGATCCATTCCCTGGGATACCTTCGAGCTAATATAATCGAGGCTCGCGCGTGATTCGGAAATCTATCGGTTGATAATATTATTTATTAACATTGTTTCAATATTATTTGAAATATACGTTATTAATCTTAATTCAAACTAAAGATTCGAACTAATCAAAAAATATGTAAATTAAATTAATGTATCATTTGCTTTTGTGCAATATATATTACGATCGAATTGAATCTCTCAGCTTCAGCCATAATCTGATAATGTGCTCTCATCACTCGGAAAAACTGAAAAATGTCACATTATTTACATATACTTTCTATATATAACCAAGAATTTATTAAGTAAATTTATCCATTGCAATTAAAATATGCAATTTAAAAAAATATATTTCCTTTATTACATCCTTTCCTTATTTTTGGAAATAAAGTAAATCTAAATCTCAATTCTTCTCTCGATAAAAGATTATATAATATACATAATATTTTCTTATATTTCAGAAATTTTATGTAAATATAAAAATCATTGCAACTTACGCGTTGACACATGTACAACACGATAGCCGCATTTATTATCGCAAAAATTACACTGGTAAAAAAGCGATATATCAGATACATAATTATTGTTATTACAATAAAGAAATTTTAAATGAAAACTTGATTTAAATATTAAAATCGTATTCAAATAACACCAAGAAATGACGGATCAGAAATTTTCTTTTCCTCGTGTAATGATCTGCCAAAAATTCCAGATTCAACTGAAGTTGAGTGAAGATAATCGAAAACGAGTTACAGTGAAAAATTGAATAATCAATATTAATAAATATAAATATTAATAATTAATGGATTTAAGTTTTATTATGTTTTATTAGGTTTCAATCTGAATAGCAAATTACATTTAATTGGCGAAAAATTTAAAGTATCGAAATATATTTAACTTTAAATGTCTGTATTTTACTGTTTCGAATATCGCCGAACGAAATAATAACAAGATCGTGCCATGTAAATAATAGCGCGCTATACGTTATCAAGGCCGAGAACAATTCGTTGCCAAAATATTTTATGTACCATAATGTTATATGTATATACACACGAAATATACTATATGTTTCTTAAATTATATATATTAGTTATTGATTAAACAATTAATAAATTATACACAAGACCTTTCGTTATATTAATCACTCGATTTTGCAATTCGTTTCTCAATGCGCAATCTCAATCCGTACAGCAAATTAAATTTAGATCAACGAAAAATTTTTTTTGTAAAGTTGAAATATATATTTGATTCCAAGCTGTTTCCATTGTTAGAGAAATTATTATTATTGGTAAAGATCGTAACAAAATAATAATTTAGAATGTTTATTCTTGTCGCTTCGTACTTGAAATTATAAATGAATAAATCACGAGAAATACGTTTCGATAAATCTATCAGCGCGATACAGTTTTACATGTTGTCAAAAATTGATTAATCATTAAATTTAATGATCATAGCAAATTGTTTTCTGATATTTGTCGCGATTGCGTTTTGAAAAGGAATTCGAAAATATACGGAGACTAATATATATAGTCTCGCACTACTATTTCTGTGCACGAATGACAGCAAGATGACCGCGTGTCTTAATAATATGACGCGAAAACAATAGCCAAATACCATATGACAATTAATTTATTACCGTCTCGAAATATTCAACATTTTGTAATATAAATTTATATTGAATATTTTCTGCGCCTTACATGTCAAATTAATTTCGATGATTGGGCCAATATCGCGTATAAAATACTAACAAAAATTAAAAAAATATAATTTATCTTAATTTGATTAAAATACTATTATGCAAAATTAATTAAAAATATTATTTTACCAAATATTATTTTAACAAAGTTTTATTTCAAGAAAAGATATTCTTATATATTAAATATAAATACAGTTTTTACTGCACTGCATGTATTGCGAATGCATATGTGCAAGGAAGAAAAATTTTCTATTTATCTATAATTATCTTGGCACGCAGGAATCTAAGGCAGAATATACCTCTTCATTATTACAAGCTCTATGGTTATAGAAACTTGATGGGTAAAAATTCTGCAACCGTTGGTAACGCCTAGTTCGGGGATAAGATCTCAGGTTGGCGACATGATTGCGCGTCAGAGTGTCCGTCGGGCCCGCGCAGTGGTGCGAAAAACACTGTGCGCGACTGTGCGTGCGTGCGTGCGCGTTCCGCCCGTGGTATCAGCAAAAATATGCAAAAGTATGAGAAGCTCGAGAAAATAGGAGAAGGTGAGCTTTCGATTTTGCGAGCGCGTGAGAAACGCGGTGCGGTGCGCGTCATCGGGCGTCGTCGCGACGTGGCCCTCGCGTGTCATGTCATATCGTTGCCCCGCATCTGTGCGTCGCGCGGCCGCCCGGTGGGCTCTCCCCTCTTGCCCCCCCCCCTTCCCCTTGTGTTGCGTGCTGTCAACACAACAACATAATACCGCGCCGCCTCCACCTCCTGACTACGACTCTCGCTTTTTCTTCTTTCCAGGCACTTATGGCACCGTGTTCAAAGCCAAGAATCGCGAGACACACGAAATCGTCGCGCTGAAGCGGGTGAGACTGGACGATGACGATGAAGTAGGTGATGTGCTTGTGCGATATTTGTATCTCTGTATTTTTTTCTTTTTTTTTTTTTCTTCTTCTTTTACACATAATCTCTCCCCCTCGTCCCCCACTTGCTGTTTGCCGCGACACCGGCGTTCCGATTAATTTAATTAATCGATCGCTCGTGTTTTATTTATATAAGGCGACGCTCTCTCGTGTCGCGAAAATAATTCCCTTCAACGAAGGCCGGCGAAGTTCTCCTTGATATTAGTGTCTTATCGCTCGTGTGCTCTTTACGTTGCTCAAGGGTGTACCGTCGTCAGCTCTACGAGAGATCTGTCTACTGAAGGAACTCAAGCATAAGAATATAGTTCGCCTCTATGACGTGCTGCACAGCGACAAGAAGCTCACCTTGGTATTTGAGCACTGTGATCAGGATCTCAAAAAGTATTTTGACAGTTTAAATGGGGAAATTGATTTGGATATCGTTAAATCATTCCTGTAAGACACTTTATTTTTTTGAAAAATCCATTTATTTCACTAAAGCAAAATTATTATAAATCTATATTTGCCTTCAGATACCAATTACTAAGAGGACTAGCGTTCTGCCATAGCCGAAATGTTTTGCACAGAGATCTCAAACCACAAAACTTACTCATCAATAAGGTATGCAATTATATTTATGTTTAATATCTCTTATGTATATATTTCTGTAAGAAAAAATTATTACTTCACACAAGATTATATTTATTGTTTGAGAGAATTATTGGATCACAAGTAGAAAATTGTTCGCAGAACGGGGAGTTGAAGCTCGCCGATTTCGGATTAGCAAGGGCGTTTGGTATTCCTGTAAAATGTTACTCAGCGGAAGTTGTTACACTGTGGTACCGTCCCCCGGATGTTCTTTTCGGAGCAAAATTATATACAACGTCCATTGACATGTGGAGCGCGGGATGCATATTCGCCGGTAATCGTCCGACGATTTATCCTTCCCTAAATAGTTCAGATCAATTTTTGATGAAACTTTTTTTCAATTTTTTATATGACATTAAAAACGTTTAGAAATATATTTCTCTGTCTCTCAAAAAATATACTAATTAATGAAGATTTTTTCAATACATGTTTCTAATTTTTTTAATAACACTTTCATCTATATATTATGCAATAAAATATCGATATATTTCGTCTCGATATGTCGCAGAATTGGCAAACGCCGGCAGACCGCTCTTTCCTGGATCGGATGTGGATGACCAACTGAAAAGAATATTCAAAATGCTAGGCACACCGACCGAGGAAACCTGGCCAGATTTAACGACACTTCCCGATTATAAACCCTTCCCACAGTACCATCCCACGCAAGGATTGGCACAGGTTACACCCAAACTCACTTCAAGAGGCAAAGACTTACTCCAGGTAAATCGCGTCGTTTATTTTTATTATTAAAACAGAATTACAGCAGAAATGTGATATATATAAATGCAGTTCTATTTAGCTCTAATATTTATAGAAAATATTAGAGCAACACACAGTTAACTACATAATAAAATTTTCCATGTGGTATCTAACAATTCTAATAAATCTATAACAAATCTTTAACCGAACGAAAAGCAATATGAAATAAACTATAATGAGACTAGAATGCAGATGATTCGAAACATTGTAGAAGTATAAATATTTCGATCAGTTTTTTAGTTATGTTATTTTATACATAATATAAGAGAAAGCTACAATCAAATCAAGCCTTGATATAAAAAAAGAACTGAAAATATACAAAAGTAAAAATTTTGAAAGTATAAAACTGTTTTTCCACATATATATATATATATATAGGAAGTAGATTGAGGAAAATTGTAAAAAACAATTTTCCAAAATTATGACGTTTACAAGCTTTTTTATATCAAGTCTTTGATTGATGTTATATTTATATCTGATTAATGTACAGAGATTATTGGTGTGTAATCCGGCTCTACGACTGTCGGCGGAGGAAGCGATGACGCATCCATACTTCAACGATTTGAACCCTGCCATAAAGAATGACCGATGCCAATAGCGGATCATCCCTCTTAGTTTAGATCGATCGAGGACATTAACATGCGTATACGATGCGCAGCGACCAAAAAATGGAGAAGAAAACACACCGGCAAAGATCGTTTGTTAATATATATACATATATATATTATATGCGCTCGAGATGAAGTGATTGCCGCGCGAGAAGAAGTAGGCACCGATGGTGTCTCATTGTTTTATAAAACGATACGGAAGAATCGATAAAAATCGTTAATTTATTATCTGACAGCAACATCTTCGTATTGAAAGTGAACATTCTACGAAAAGGAAAGACACGATGTATGGTTTGCTGTCAAAGTCATGGAAAGATGAGTATGAAGATATACGCGAGATTAAGGATATAAGCGCGGTTTATTTATTAAATAATTATTATATCAATAAATCAATATCTTAAATAAGTCTTAATTATCGATTCCCCTTCTTTACCCCTTTATACGTGTTCACATCGTCTACATCGCATCGAAGTGGAACCTATGCGCTTCCTGTAACTTCTCAATTTTATCCTCTCGCCTCTCCTTCCAGTACAAGCCGAGAATAATGGCCGTGATCAAGCCGCATGTGCCGGTTAATGCAGCAGCGCTCAGCAGAATCAATTTGCTAGGTGTGACGAACAGTTGAGCCTTCCATCTCGATGGTTCGGCAATCGGATTTGGTATCACGACCATTTGGGAGTTGGGAATGATTTGTGGCCATTCTCGTGATTTACCGCCAACCTAAAAAAAATTTTTTTTTTTTTTTTGTCGAACGCTGTAACATTATTCGAGATTTTTTACTAAGAAATTGAATTGCAAATCGAAGTTAATTAATGTTAAATTAGCGATTAAATGTATATTATAATTTTTTTTTCTACTTATAAGATAAAAAATAAAATCTATTTAAGTTCAGATTAACTTTAATTCACATCAATATTATTAGCCTTAAGAATCAAATCATTGTCCATGTTTTTTCACGTACCCCTATCGTAAGAGTATCCACGAAATTGGGCGTTCTTCCTAAACCAAAGGTGGTATATGGCAGATTAAGTGAGAAATGCGCGCTTTGCGGTAACTGTGCGGCAATCGCGTTGCGAGGACTACCATCCTGAGTAGTGGTTCTGTACGCAATCGACGGTCCCGGCAGATTGGTGCCGTAGGTCCGCTTTTTCTTGCCGAGCGAGCCCGGCGAAATTGGATACATGCTGTTGGTGCGTCCGGTGAGCACCATCACCTTAACAAAATTCGCGTCGTAGTCCAAACTATTCTTGAACGCCGCGGTGCGATACGAGTTGCTCGTCTTGTTAAACTCTACCAGAATCACATCCAGAATACCGTCCTGGTAAAAGTCATAAAACACCGCCATCGCGGTCTCGTTATAGAACGGATTCAACGCCTGCCACTTGATCTCGAAGGTACGATTGAAACCGTCACAGCTCTTGCACTCCACGTTCTGCAGGAATGATTGTTTTC